TCGTCCACCGAAAACTTCAATGCACGCCTCACACCTACGGCTCATGAATTCGAAATATTCTGGAATATTCCACGCAAATTTTCCCGGTAGCTACTGAAATTCGCGCAACCAGCTCCTCGGCGTTGTCAACGGGGGTGTCATAAACCAGCGTCTATGTGGGTATGAACATTATGGCTGAAATGGATGGGGCCTAAACATGTTATAATCACATTGTCTTTCGCATCCATGGAGAAATCTGTTTGTCATCTAAAAGTTGTGGCAAAACTGGCTGCAGAAAGATCAAGTAGTTACAACCAGTTACACGAAAAGGCAACAGGTAAGGTCCGATGAGGTGATCACCCACAATGCCGGCTCAAACATTAAACGAAAGCCGACTCCACACTGCACGACGTCGTGTTGCATGAGGGTTCTCTACTATCCAGAAATGTTATATGCTTTGAATGTTCCTTCCCTTGTGAAGGATGTCTCATCGGTGAACAACGCATTAGCAGGGAACCGGTGATCTGTAGCTCACATTTCAAGATAACAGCATGCAAAAGCAATATGTTCACAATCGTCCGGTTGAAGTGCCTGGATACGCTGCACGTGATACGTATGCATTTAGATATATCTCAGAATCCTCTACATGCTGGAACGAAAAACCCGACTGCGTGCGATAAACTTCTCGTACCCAAACTTGGAATTTCCTATACTTCATATAGCACATTCTCTTCGATGTTCAGAGCCCAAACTGATTGTGCCCAATTCATGGCAGCTCTTTAAAAGGAACCTGCTTCAGCTAACCACCGGTGCCGACTTGGAAAAAAATATGGCTGGTTTACGCCTCATAAGATATCGTTCCATGTACAAGCGCTGTGTCTGGCCTACTACAATCTGCAGCCCCATGCATATCGGCTGACTCCGCTTCAAATAATTAACTATTCATTTTACTAAATCTACGTCCTTATGCAAGAACTCTCGGAGTTTTGCGCAACGCCATCTACCGCATCAGACATGATTCCGAACCCTGCATTGCTACATGATTCCGAGTCATTGGGGTGCACCCTACCTCTCCTAGAAGTTCTAAAACGTGGCACTGAGACAGCCTGTATATGAACTCAAAGGAAATATGATTCAAGATGTCGCCGGGAAAAGCATTCCATCTGCTGCACTTGGCACTGAAGGGAAAACAGCGCTAAATAAGTTTTCGAAGATTTTGTTTCATACAAAAGCTAGAATTTTGTCCGCTTAAATAATCGTCATTAGTTCGATTTAAATTCTGTAGCACAACTAACACGTTCATATTATTTATCAGCATTCCCGATATTTTAAAGCAATTTTTCTTGATTATATTAAATGTCATTGTTATGCTTGCCGTATAAGTTGCCTTGGATGGTCTAGTTGTTAGTGGTGACTGATTACTACTCGAAACAAAAGATATTAGTTCGACTTTTCACGTAAAGCTTGCGTGTCTGCGCGTCCTCGGTCCTCCTCGTGAGTGCAATATCATTTTAATTCCTGTAATGCATAATGGGCAGTGTTCTTATGATGATGTGACGGATAAGAAACCAATTAGTATGGATATTCCCGAGGATGCCTTTAAGCAATTATCCGACCATTTTAAAAAATTGGTCACCTTATAAGGTTTACTTTTTTGATTTAATTAAGCAGCAATTAAAGTTGCTTTCAGTTTTCGTTTTGATGTTTAGAAACATATTTTTTAAATGTCCTTATCGATACGGTAAATTATGCTACCGTATATATATATACATATATATATATATATACTTCAAGTTTATTCTCTTAAAGCTGCTACCGCAAGAAGCTTAAGATCTTTAATTTAGCTCTGAAATTATTATTAGATTAACTTTTCATTGAAGTTTTATTCTAGGTAAACACCTTTTCAAATAAAAATATTAACCTTTTATTTATGAAACTAAAAATAAAATAGTTTAAAATACACATATGCACACAGGATTTATAGACTGTCTTCACTTATAGACACACTTCGCTTTTTTCATTCATTTTAGTTTTTAAATTACTTGCGTATTGGACTGATGAAATCTATTTTGGCACTATAAAAGACTTTTCATTTTATTATTTTCACAAAACTGCAGATCTTCAAAGCTGCTTTGAAGACAAAAGAAGTAACTTTAAAATGCAAACTCTCGAGGATCTAAGAGTTGTATGATACTTTAATCCAACACCACTAAGCACAAAACTAAAATGGGAAAACAAATTATGAATAATAGGATTTTCTAAGGTTTCAAATGAAAGCATTAAAATTAGAAAGTTTAGAAAGTTGAAAAAACAACAAAAAAGGTTTAAAGAATGCAGGTTTGTAGATAATAGTTTTCAAAAATAACATTCGTACGGATTTACATTTTAAATTAGAAAAAATAACAAACAGTTACAGAAAAATGCTTGTAGTGTATGTAATTCCAAATAATATTTGCTTGCTAGATCGGAATAAAACTTAATAGTTACTTCAAATGATTAAATTTTAATATTGAAAGCTTACTATAATCAACAAGTTACTGTTATTAAATAATAACACGTAAATAAAGTTGAAACTGTAAAAAGAGTTCAGAGATTTGGACATACAGACGGATGACTTTTTTAGCGAATATTGTTGCGTGAATATATAAATTCTGCGTATTCGTATATGAAAGTTTTCAGCTTTGAGGTTTATCTAAGTACTATATGTATTTCAATTAATTTCATAACTTTTAGTTATAAGTAAAAAATGTTTGCATAGCTTGCTATTAGGTTTTGAGTTATATTTATTTCATAAATTCTTGACTTTAGATTACAAAACTTCAGTACTCTTTGATAAATACGTTTTTTACCATTAACCTATTTTCCGAACTAAACAGTATCCACAGGAATGACAAGTGATGAACCCATGGACTCAGATTTGGATAGTGGAGGGAATATAAACTAGTAACACAAAATGAGTAGCTTTTAACGAGTAGGGAACATGGTGTCCGTTTTTCTTTGTCATTTTAATTATAGATTTTTAGGTAATAGACCATAATTACCATCTCGCGTGATTCTTAAACGCGTATTTGTCACTGAAATGGAAACAGCGCAAACGTGTATACTTGAAAAAATGACTTGACGTAATTACAGCAACTTGGTTTGGCAACGGACTTAGTTATGGACCTGAAGTTGCTTTTAAAGCTGATAATCGAATTAGGAAATAATATACTTAGCTATGGACCTGAAGGTGCTTTTAAAGCTGAAAATCGAATTAGGAAATAACATACGGAAAACTTGGGAAGTATCTTCTGTGTATTTCTATTTACTATACATTTAAAACTTTTAAATTAAGTTCATTTGAAAAAGGATTAGTTTGAATAAACCTTTCATTTAAGTTTGTTAATCACAACAAAAGTACAACAGTAATAGTACTTCAAGAGAGAGACAAGCTTCAAGAAAAATGCTGAATTCTCAATGCTCCATTTCGAAGTGAATTTTCAGTTATTCGGATGAAAGTTGCATTATCCCTATTTGCACCTTGTGATACTATTTATAAATTCCGAAAGAAATTAATTGCCTAAGCAGAGAATGATTTCGCTGATAGAAAAATGGTGCCAATTGTAAGCTTCTTATTTTTAACTGAAACGGTTTGAAGGGTACGTAAGTTACCTTTATCGCGTTATCCTCTTATGGCATCATCCGCACTTACTAGATGGAACGGATGGTGCAGGCTGATAATGATTTTCTTATTATCAAGATGGCATTATCGTTGGTTGGTATTCTTTAGCTGGGAGGGAACATGTTCTTTGGAGCATTTCGTTAGTCGTCCGATTTCTAATCGATCGAACTAAATTTAATTTTAATTACAGAATTTATATTTGAGTATATTTTGTGAAATTGAGCCAATTTGTTGACCGCACTATTCTCTAATACTTGCATTTTGCATCATATTTGTAAGAGGTTCGAATACTCAATTTGCTGTGTGAAGCATGAAGTCCTACTCAGTTGCAAGTTTAGCTGTTATGTTATGAAGAGTGTCTGCTTTACACCGTTATGGTACAAATATTTACGTGCGTTAGTTTAGTGAGGGAAAGGAATGGTTGATCTTTTCCGAATTACCTCTGATGTGAAACTTAGCTAGAATTCTTTCATTTCGTGGTTTTACCGAAGAAGAGAAGCTGTTTTCTAGAGAATTATTTGTTTTTTGGCAAGATGTTTCTGCAAGACAAAAACTGCTTCTGTCGAAATGGAGAATCTAGACATAATTTGTCTCTCACTCCCTCTTTCCACGCATTCCGAAAGTTAATTGCATCATAGAAACGAAGACTGTATACTCAGGTAATCACGTTGCGTAAAAGGGGAAATCGCAGCCGCAGCAACTAAAGCAATCGTAGAATGAGACCTTAATTATGACCACCATTGCCACTATATCGCCTGACCACAAGCGCAGTCTGTAAAATTTAGTTTTATGCGCATAAGAAGACTATGCAGAAGTAAATATTTATAGGCAATAAAAATGCCTTTGTTCAATTTAGGTATTTTTTATTGGTTATAATTATCATTAGCAATTTTTGCATCACACTTTATGCATATCCACTACTATAGGCTATAGCTTGTAGAGCAGTTTTTCCATCTGCCAATTTTTCTTTAATATTTAAAATACTTGATAAAAAGATTTTCTAAAACTTTTTAAATTTAAAAAAAAAAAGAAAAATTTCAAAAAATTAAATATTATTTAAAAATTACAAATTTGTAAACTGAATTTATTTAAACTTAAAATTGTAATTCTTTTACTTTATTGGCTTTATAAAACTTTAAAAAATTATATGAAATTCAAACTATAACTTCAGCTTATATTTTACACGAAAACTAAATCTGTACAAATTTTCATTCAAGTATTCTTGTTTGCTACATAAATATCATTAAGTACTTTATTGAATGAAATTTTAATAATGCCGTTTAATTGAAATTATTATTATCATGGCTCTGAGATCATATTTTATGAAGAATTAAAAGTAATGAATGAAAAACGTGCATACCTACCCTCGCAGACTGGGCGCTTTTTTTCGAGTTCCAGCAAAACTCGGCAATTGCGGTAAGAATAGCTACAGCTAAACCACACATCAATACAACAAACACACCGCCAATGTTGTCCACCCCCAAAGCATTGGCTTTGCCATCCTTATTCTTATCGTCTCTGGAGCAAGTGATGCCAGGACTTTTCCACCATTTATTATACAGCATTTGGATAACACCTTTTTCCTGTAGCTCTAGAATAGCGAGAGATATTTTGTCTCGCCAAGGAGAGCCTGTTGAGAAACGACAGTTGATATATATATATATATATATATATATATATAAGATAAAAATGTATGAATCAGAATTATAATATAACTATAAACATTAATTCTTCCTCTTTATTCTAAAATCGTAATAACTTATCTGCATTGCGTCATTCAAATTAATCATGCGATCTTACGTAACCGTTAATACCAGATGCCTCTTGACGACCAATCACCGAATTGTAAACCAAAACTTTTCTCTTCGCGTGCTTCATAACTACGCACTTCAGCTTTTGCTCTCTACTGTGCTAAGATGTAAATTCGCTGGCTTGCTTTCTATCCCAACAATATCAAAAATGTAAATCTTCTGTGGAAAGGCACGACTAGAGTGCCAAGTCTGCTCCGGCTTTTCCTTGTTTTGCTCTTATTATGACACATATATATATATATATATATATGGAATATTTCTAATTTATAAGCATCATATGTAGCAGAGGGTTCTAATGTTTTCACAAAGAAATAAAGAAAATTTTTCTGAAAGAAAGAAAAAAGTATAAATGAAATTATTGACTTTTGTTCTAGTCTATTCAGGCTTGATTAGTACTAGATTCTAAATTTAAATAAGTGATTCCTCCATTAAAAACGTTAACTGAAACTAAAACAGCATAATATACAGGGTGTCCCAAAACGACCGCATAAACTCTGCACAGTTAGATTCCTCGTTGGGAGTACATAGAAACTGCCCAAAGAAGCGTTCCTGTACGATCCATAGTTTACGAGAAAAATGCGAAAAACAAAGTATGACGTCACTGCCGGTGCACTATACACTTTATTGGACATATCAACAACAGTATTGGCATATCTTTCCAGACGATAATGTTTAAAACGGCCACAGAACCATCAGGAACGTAGGTCTCTTAACATGTGGGCCGGCATACTCGGGAATCGCCTGCTTGGACGATATCTGTTACCTAAATGGCTCTCGGAAAAGTCGTACTTGATGTTTCTCAATGAGGTCTTAACAGAGTTCCTCGATGACATACCATTAGCGGCAATACAGGGAGTTTGGTTCCAGCATGATGGGGCTTCAGCGCATTTCTGTGCTCTTGTACGTGGTTGGCTGGATATGGAATACCCCGGCCGCTGTACAGGACGTGGGGGTCCGGTTCTATGGCCGCCACGTTCGCCAGATCGTACACCGTTGGATTTTTCCTATGAAGCAATCTCAAGGAACTGGTGTATCGAGACGTAGTGACAACACCAATGGACTTAGTTGCTCGTCTGCATGCTGCTTGTACTTCGGTGGACCTCGCGATGCTGCAATGTGTGATTACAGCCATTCCCCGGCGTGCTCGAGCCTGCCTCGACATGCACGGCAGACACTGCTTTAAATTGTGCATATACTGCTGTTGATATGTTTAATAAAGTGTTTTTTATTGCACTGGCAGTGACGTCATACTTTGTTTTTCGTTTTTTTCTCGTCAACTACAGGAACACTTCTTTGGGCAGTTTTTATGTACTCCCAACGAAGAATCTAGCTGAGCAGAGTTTATGCGGTCGTTTTGGGACACCCTGTATATGAAATTCGAGGACAGAATGCAGCTGGTAGGCAAAATCTCAAATCTGGTCTTTAAGTCCTGAATCTGCACCAAGACGAGAAGGTTAATATTAGGTCACACATTACTTGCTTGGAAAATTTGGGCTATTCAGTATGATTATTATATTGCAGTAATGATATCATCTGCCCTACACTAAATATAGGAAAATAACTCGCATGTACTGCTCTTGGTGCATGCTATCTGCCATGTACCGAGGGCTATCCGCCAAAAAGAAAAACAAATGCCTCTTTGGCGTATGTTTTATGGAAAATTTTTCCTACCCTATTACAGGGAACTATAAAAAATTTCCAATACAATCACTCCATTTGTGGGGATATGAACCCGAGTCAAAGTAACAATTTTCAGTTGATTGTTACATTCGATCAATGATAGGTCTGACAGTTCAGGAATGTGTCATGAACATTTATTTTGATCAAATTCAAATGTCGAATATTACGAAAAAATTATCCGTTATCCATACTTTTAAACTTCTGCAAAATTTCAAGAAGGTTTATGATACCTTCTCATTAGCTATAAGCTGTCTTGGATCAGAAAGTGTTTCCTGTTATTAAATACAATTTCGGGTTAGACTTTCTTCCCTTAGGCAGATGATCCTCGTGCGCTCTTCTTTAATTATTTAACATAATCGTGACTACGGCTTCTTGAATTAAGCTCTGTCTTCTAAGCAAATAAATCACTGTGAAACGTGATGATATTATAGGGAATTATTATTCAGTATTTGTTGCTTCGGTACGAAGCCACGCGGGGATTCTCTCGAACGTGTTCAGTTCCTTTCAGGATGCTCTTTTCTGCTTGTGGTAAGGAGGGTTCTGTTTGTGACAGCATTGATGACGTTTGTTAAAAACAGGAACTATGGATTAGACGTGTCTTATTCACAGGTAAGATTTTCTTTAAGTTACAGCTACAATGCTGACTTTTATTTGCAAAATACTTCAATATTTATAAAAAAAAAGGTAATATCTCGGGAAGTTTAAAGCTTGAAAATAGAATAGCTTTAAATGTCTCGACAGATTAAGATTTTTGATAATTTTTGACGTAACAGGATTTTCAAAAGCCTCGCAGAGATATTAAGCTTATCGATGCAGGAGGCGTGAAAAATTTGCAATGCCATCACCGGGATTCGAAAACCAGATCTCCGGATTGTTAGTACATGGCGCTATTCAGTTACACTCCAAGGATCTGCGGTAAGGAAGGAAAAAGTACCTTATATATTCCGCCATTTAAAGCACTATCCGGGATTAGAGCACTCAGTTGTCAAATCCTAGTGGTGACGAATGATCGTCTACCGCCTTTCAGTTGGGTGCCACGAGTAGAGTTATTAGTTTTATCGATGCTGGAGACTTGAGCAATGTGAAGTGCCTTCTCCGTGGTTCAAAGACGGGACCACCCAATTGCTAGCCGGCCATGCTATCCATTTACACCAAAAGAGGAAGAAAACACCACACCTCATAGACTTATCTTCAAAAGACTTTAAAATGAACATCTATTGAAAGTGCAGTTACAGAATTTTAGCACAGATGAGTTTTCAGAGCACTGCTTGGCACAATTTATGTCGGATACTTATGATACTGTTGCTGTTTCAGGTTGGAATAATATTAGACACAATATTATTTAGATCTGTTGTGAACTGTTGAATATAAAATATTGTTGGATATTTACAGTGATGAATGAAACAAGAAATTAATTGAAATACAAAACTTTAGTTAATTGATTATTAATAATATAAAAAATGCCAATGCAAGTGCAACTATAACCATAATATGCCATTTAGATCAGTGCTCAATTGAAAAAGAGAGACGTCGAAGAACGCTGCCATGGAATGATGTGCTATATTGTTCTTATCATTATTTTTTGTTTTTGTTAATTTCTTTCATATAGATGCTTTCATTGCTAAAGAAGGTGTTTCATATCAGTGATGAGATGATTTGCCTATATTTAGAGAAGTTTTACTACAATAATTACTTACTACCATTTGCAATATTGCATAAAATCATATCCAGACATTGATCAAAATTATAATGAATTATAAGACATAAAATAAAAAGATACGTTAATGACAAGAGGAAAGATGATTACTAATTCATATTATTCGTTTTATACTAGCGCATACTAAGTAAACAATAAATTAACTCGGAAAACAGTACATGAAAAACTATAATGCAGTATGACAAATTAGGAAAAAAAATTTTAAGAGGATATGTATATATAAAACATGAGTAACATATTTGAATAGCTTATAGTTATTTAATGTACAATTTCAATAAATCTAAAATAAGGCACACTAGCTACCTTAAAGCACTAATCCACAAAATCCCAATTACTGAGGGAAATTAATAAATATAAGAAAACTCCAGCATAAATTTTCTTGACATACAGAACAGCAGCTATTAACAAATATTCATTATTAACTGGCACAGTAAAAAGAGTTCGACTTGAAAAATGAATATAAAAAGTAAAGAAGAGTGATCAATTAAATGTAAAAACTAGATTAGGACTCATTTCAGTGTAAAAAACAGTTTTCTGTTATCGTGATCCTGTTATAATTTAGTTTGCAAATCCTTTTCAGGCAGTGATTACTGTTGTAACAGGACAAACATATGCATACATACATAGCTGGACTTTGTGTGCTGCAGAAATGAATACATACCCATAGGCGTAGCAATGCCGTATCCTTTGGAGTCTAACAACCCTCCAACTTGCGTTAAGTTGCAGTCCCTCTGTACCATATAGTCCAACATAGTAGATTCCATCAGGAAAGCGTAGTTTCCCTCAAGAACTCTCTGGACACCTTCTTCGTACGAACTGACAAAAACAGACGGCCTGTTTTCCATATATCGCCACATCTTAAGGTATGTTTCGATTTTGGAATCCTGAAATGGAAGCACGATGCTGAAAACTGCAGCATGAGTAGAAGACTCAATATAAAATCTTACAAAAATGCTCCTTTCCAGGTATAAACTTTTAAAAGAAAATAAATATACATATTTAATGTGAAGGCAAGCCCTCACATTTTAGTCCTCGGGCTTCTTCATGTAATGTTTTATTTTTATTTTCATTCATTTACGAACGTCTTTAATAATCGTTCATCAAAATGTTTTTTCTCGTGGCAAACACTGATAAGAAGAAGAATTCGTAAATTCAGAACTGAATGCAGTGGTAAATTATACATTACATTACCTTTAAGTTAAGTTCCAAATGATGATCCAAAAGTTTTTAAGATGAATGTTTACATCAAGGAAAAAGTTAATTCTTCCATTTATATTTTAAATTCAATACAATATAAGGGCTATGACTCAAAATTCGCAATGCGAATGTTAAAATAACAGTTTGTGATAATATATTTTTATCGTAATAATATAGTCTAAATATGCACACCTTCAAACTGAAATAATTTTAAAAAAATGATTTTGTTACAGATGCTACTTACTTCAATTAATAGCTTATTTACGATTTCTTACTTTTGAATTAATGATATGGTTAAAGTGCTGTTTACTATTGGTTAGGTACAAAGCCATAGATAAAATTAACTTTTTTATAAATGGCGTGAGTGAAATGAAGTAGTTTTTAAATATTTAGCGCATACTTATTTTCGTACTAATAGGATTTGGCATCTGAGAGTATAATGCTTTGTTTACTTTGATTGTACTCACTGCCTCTTAGAAAATAATAAAATTATTTCAGATATATGATACGATTCCATATTTGAACTCGTTACTTCAAACATATAATCCGTTCTTGATGAAGAAGGTTAACAATTTTTTTCAAGACAGAATACGTATGTCAAATATTTTAACTAGAAATGAGTAAAATGTCGATATACATTTGAGGTAAGTAAAAAACTTCAGGATATTCGGATGTGGAATGCATAAATTTTAATAACACACAGTGCTTCAGAATACAATATATTAAAATGAATTTCTAAACTTGAATAAGAATAATGGGAGGAAGTACTCGTAATACAATTAAATTTATTCGCTCACTTAAACCTTTTAGAAATTTCTAAATTCTGGCATACAAATTCGCTGTGGTTTCAAATCAGTTGAACAGATATAAAAAAGTATTTTTCTGATTAACGTTAGTTCTCGTCGCATTATCTATTGAAACTTTTAACTCAATAACCAGAGTCGCCATTCGCGTTTGTTGCATACTGCATGCAAGACGGTTTCCATTTAGCCTAATATTTGGGTGCTAATTATATAATCTAATCTGTGCAGAGAACCAGACATTTCAAATGACAAAATTAAATACTACGAAGGTAATTAAAATTAAATTAGTAGAAGGTTTCAACTCTTTAGGTATTTCGTGCTTTAGCTTTCATGCCGTTATAATATGTATTCTCAACAAACTGTTGAAGCGTTTGTTATTGGTTTTAGAACCAATAATAATAGCATTATTTTGATTGTGATAATCTTTGATATATAAAACATATGTATACTAAAAACACATAATTAATTTTCTGAGTTATTTTAAGACAAAAAATTGAAGAAAAATATTTTATAGACGTAAAATATTTTTTACTGCGCTTCCTAAAATTACCGGAGCTATTGAAAATAAAGAAGTCATGATGATCAAAATCGTAAAACCAACCTTGTATTTAGCGTAAGTATAATGCAACACTCAATCGATTTCGAAGGCAATAATAATAGCATTATTTTGATTAAACTCTGATTAAAAACTCTAATTAAAAATCTGATATAATTTTTAACTCTGATTAAAAATCCGGTTATAACCAAGTGCAGTGCTGATAAGGAGCACGTGTTTCTGAGACTCTTTCCCCTTTATTTTTCTTCTTTTTAGGTATTTCTCCTGATGAGGAGGGACCTTTAGCTGCCTTCGAAATCGATTGAGTGTTTCATTATACTTACGCTAAGTACAAGGTTGTTTTTACGATTTTGATTGTCACATTAGCGTGTTTCTCTTCTAGTCCAAATCATGATGAGTTTAAAAATTTTCTTTTCAAACCAGTCTTAAATGTGGAAATGTATGAAGTGTATATAATAATTTAATTGAATAACCCTGTAACTCCACCATATCAACCACAGTACTTCTAAACAGCAACTAGAGGAGAAATTTGGAACGGAAAATGTTCTGCCCTTGTCCTTATGCCCTTTTCTTCAAAAATATCTGCATATGCACAATCTAAATCCTTTTCACAATACGTAATAAAGAATATATTCTTCCTGCAGAATGTATCTTTTCACAAATTCATAAAGTCGAAATTTACTCTATCCTGTCTTTTAACGCTCTCTGAAATTTATTTTGCATTTTTTAGAATTTTAGACATCGTGTCTTGAGAAAATACAGTTTGACAATATAGAGAACACACAAATTGAAAATTATACTATAGAAATTATTTACAATGTATCGAGGAACATTTCATACATTCTGTCAAGACAGATTTCATACGCATTAAAACTGTTTCATTTTATTTCACACATATTGACCTTAAACAGAAAAAGGATGAGAACTTGTAACATTACTCTAACGAGTGCTTTCTTGGTCCACTACAATATTTCTTTAAGTAAATTGTTACATAATTTGACGTTAGACATGTTTAACACTATTTGTATGGCAAACAGCAGAATAGTCCATTAATACACGGACGGTCTTTCTTTTTTTAGCAACTTGTTCCGATATTCAGAACATTTTGTGATGCACACTGAAATCAATAAGGACTGCAAATTTCAGCCTATACTGGTAATACCAGCAGTACTGATATGCTTTGTTGGTATTACCAATATCGGCTAAAGGTGCATAAAAAATTACCTTCGATTTCAAAAGTAATTACTCTGTGCCTTACAAATTTAAAATTAACTATAACTATAACTAGAAATAAAGATGGCTAGTTCGAGCATAGTCATGTTATGAAAATACATTTCATCATTAATTATTGGCTTTTAAGAACATTAATACTTAAGTGCCGGATTTACCCTGAAGAATGTCATGGTAGATCCGCCTTCCAGCGTGCCGTAAGAGATCTTGCTCTGCTCCGCCAGGTCCTCGACGCTTTCTATTGGCGTTATCATGCGCTCTACGGTAAGGAAGGCGGCCAGGTTGGCCGTGTACGAAGAAATCATGATTAACGTAAAGAACCACCAGATGGCGCCTATGATACGTGTCGAGGTGGCCTTAGGATTCAGATCACAACCTTGGTGCATTAGAGTCACAATGGTGAACCAGAAGCTGAAAAAGTGAAAATATTTCAAATTTATTAAATTATTCTGAAAAATACATACATTGCAAATGTTGTATCAATGTTATCAGTGTTAAACTTTGTAGAAACATTAGGTTAACTGGAAGCAAGAGAGATTGAAAAATTAGCAACCGCCTTCGCGGGGAATCGAACCACGGACCTCTGGAATACCGGCCCAGTGTGCAAACCACTAGACCACGAATGCACGCTAAGAAAGCGGGAGAAATATATTATATACTCCCCGGTTTAGGGCGACTGGGGGTTTTAGGGGACCCAATTGCGAAATCCTGGGTGAGGAGAATCATCATCCAACACCTTTTTAGTTCGGCCCCATTATAGAAACATTAGGTATTTTTTGGAAGCAGGCAAGATGAAAAATTAGCAAACGCCTTAACCGGGAATCGAACCACCGGCCTCTGGAATTTCCGTCCCAGCGTGCAGAATCACTACACCACGAAGGCACGCTAGGAAGATGGGAGAAATACCTTATAACTTTTCATTTTATTTAATACTTTGACTGACTGACTGTTAAAAAATGACACAAAATGGACTAGTTTATTTTTTTATTAAATCGTTACGTGTTTATTTAAAATAAAAAATATAATTGTAAATATTAATAAATTACTGATTATGTATGATAATTGTCCAAGAATTCGAAAACATAATTTGAAAGTAGGGATAAGGTATAATAATACAAATCTTTAATTGGTATAGAAGCATCGAGCTGCATGCTAGAAAATTGGAATATTAGCAGCTACAAGAAAAAAGAGAAAGTAAATTGTTATATAATTTTTAACTGCTTTACATACAGGCACCAGAGGTGAAAGACTTCATGGCAAATAAAGCCAGTATTTGAAAAAAAAGGAAGAGAGAATATAAATACTGATATTTTAATGCGTAGAATAAACCCGACACTTTTAATTTCCGGCAGTCGAAAGGACTTTACTGCGCAGTTAGAAAGATGTATTCATAAACTAAAAACTTTCATACATGGCCGTTTGGAAACATAATTTTATTCCATGGTAATGCATATTAAATCAGTTTTTTGTTGACAAAATAGTTCCAGATTGTAGTTAGCAACAATAATTTTTATGTACACGAGTTAAAAAAGGAAGACGTCGCCTTAGTAAGCATAGCAGAGCAGAGGTTTTGCATGGCAAGAGAGGTTAAAAAGAAGAAGTGACGTAATTGCTAGCAAAGTAGTATTTATACTAGGCAGGTGTATATGTACAGCTAAACTGCGATTCGTAAATTTCAGGTTTAGTTCCTTTTGAATGCAGCGTTATGTAATTTGGAAAGATCTCCAATCTATGAGAAAAGATGAACTTGGGGAGAATATCAAATCTAGAATAGTCAATTTTTAGGTCGCCAATCATTTCTTAACTTACCCATCGTATTGTATTATATCTTACACACACACACATATATATGTAATATTAAAAGCACAAGGAAAAGAAGGAGCAGTGTCGGTGCGTGCTTAGATCCATATTGAAGAAGAATTTTGATTGCATACTATTTAAAGAACTTGGCAGTCGAGGTAGTTTTAATTCCATTTTTATTTCCAATTGATATTTCTGGCCACAATCACTTGGCACTCTAGTCGTGCCTTTCCACAGAAGATTTACATTTTTGATATTGTTGGGATAGAAAGCAAGCCAGCGATATTACATATTAGCAGAGTAGAGAGCAAAAGCTGAAGTGCGTAGTTATGAAAGATGGAAGCACGCGAAGAGAAAAGTTTTGGTTTACAATTCGGTGATTGGTCGTCAAGAGGCATCTGGTATTAACGGTTACGTAAGATCGCATGATTAATTTGAATGACGCAATGCAGATAAGTTATTACGATTTCAGAATAGAGAGGAAGACTTAATGTTTTTAGTTATATTATAATTCTGATTCATTTAATTTTATCTTACATATTCCCCCCCCCCCTTCAAAAAGAAAAAACCGTAGCGGCAGAGAAGCCTTTTTAAAGAGAAAGAGTTAAAACACTAGAAAAATGTTTTTTTTTTTTTTTTTTTTTTTAAAAAAAAAAAAAAAAAAACCATAAATAATAAAATTTTTTTTGTTAAATATTTTATAAATAGCAATTTTTTTAAATAATTTTTAATTTTTAGAGTCCTATTGAATTTTTCACCATTTCAGTCCAAAAGTCTTTTTGTTTGAGAGTTCACATAATCATAATTCTTTAGGGAAGGTTCTTGTTAACACAGAATGTCACAAAATAAACTTTTACATAATCATTACTTATAATTAAATGCACATAAATATTTATGATATTAATTTTCATATTGATAAATTATATTTTAATACCATATAATATTAGGAGTAAGCTTCAGAAAATATGGTTTCACCGTTATTATCTTTCATCTACAATTCCTGTATTATACCAACTGGAAGGCCTCGCAATACTTCTGAACAAACCATATCCATCAGTAGGGCTGTCCTCTTGAGCTAACCAGTGTGTTCTATGCACTGGTGACCCAGGGTGCCTACACGGTTACTTGAAAGGGCCTCCGTTCCTTACATTAAGGTAACTGGCCTTTGAGAACTGCACTAATACATTCCATAATATAATAATAATAATAATAATAATAATAATAATAATAAAATAATATAAAAAATTACACTCTCATAAAATGAGAGCCTCCAACATTATCTTGCATGAAGAGGGTAAAAGGAACAACTGTACAGAGGTATTACAGGCCTCTGTTGAAGGAACCAGTACACCCTCATCATACTATACTTAACACAAAATAACCCATAAATGTTAACATGCATTTACCATAATTTCATATTACTTATCTGTACTAATTTCACTTATTTTTAACATCTTTATTTTTAGAATAATTATAAAATTCGTATTCAAAATTCTCAACAAAATTTCAAAAACATAAAAACTTATCTTAATATCCTTCCCTATGAATAATTTAAATAGCTTAAAACTCGTTACTTAGTTTGCTCACACACATTTTATGAAAAATTAGAAAAATTACTGAACAAGAATTTCAGATTTTCTCAAAACAAATTGCAGAAATTTTAACCAAAGTTGAAATGAAAACTATAGAATTCGCAACATATTAAATAATTTAGTTCCTGAGCTAGATTCACACGAATGTAATAACTTTTGAGCTGTTGAAAAAGCGAAAGTGCAAATAATTTTCTGTCGCACATACTTGCGAACACTAACTCGGATCGACCTTGAACCCGCTGTAATGCTGAATCCCTAAACGGTAATTCACTGATGATTTCCTTTTCACTAGGCATTCGAACTTCTCAATTTATCCAGAGATTACTTTCAATCTGTAAACACTACGCGTGATTATTTTTTTGAAGCACTTGCAAAACACCATAGCAGAAGAATAATCTGTTATTTTTTAAACACTGAAAAAACAAATTTGATGATTCACTTCTTTCACATTATCTTGGATTTATCACAAAACGATGATTTCAAGAGCTGAATTAAATTCTCCATTGAGGTTTCAGGCTGCAGGAAACTATCCTACCGGCTAATTAATAACGATTTAGTAATGTATGAAGAATTTCAATACCCTAATACACGTAAATTATCTCCTCCATTCTCAGGACCTTATAAAATTTTAAAACAATATTCTGAAGTTACTTATGAAATAGATAAACCTAATCCTTTAACTAAAAAGAAATCAGAAATTGTTCATTCAACTAGATTAAGACCTTTTAATCCAGCAAGTGAGTTTAAGTTAACTGTCCGAAATAGTAGATTTCCTATCTCTGTTCAAAATTAAAATTAATTTTTTAAAAATTCTATTTTAAAACATTTTCCTGATTATGACCTTAATACCTGATTTAGACTTAAACCCTAACTATGACAAGTTATTTTTACCGACTATGACAAATTATTCTCCCGATCTTGACCTTTTATATCTTTCACATAATTTTGAATTATTTTGTAGCAAAAAATTTTCTTCTTATTGTAGGATAATATTTGTTTCTAATTTACAACATTATAAAAAAGACTTTAACTTGATTATACAAGTTATCCTCTTATAATTTTGATTTTATATATATATTATATATATGATCTTTTATTTTTCTAACACCACTTTGAGGTAAAGTACAATGCCAAAAACCAGTTAGCTTCTATTAGGCAACGGAGGTTTTTCGATATTTGTACCTAGCACCCCCCAACCATCAGCAAGTAATCACGCTGATCTGTTGGCGAGGACATGCCATAGTTTTAAAGTCAAAGTGTTCATAATTGTATTATTTATATTGAATTGTTTTTTGAATAAGTATAATATTTTGTATTGAAGTGTAAAACATGTCAATCTTTATGATGAAAGGAAAAAATGCATCATATTTGTGAACTATCAACATGCATCATATTTGTGGACTATCTGGCATTTAGAGATTCGAACTCTTTTCATGAAAAGGACTTTCAAAAAAAAAAAAAAAAAAAAAAAAAAAAGGACATTTTTAACAAAATTGAGGACATTTGTAATTATAACTTATTTATTTATCAGTATTCCATATTTATTATGTTATAGTCTTAAAATTAGTCATATATTGTATATTTATTTATAACTCATTGTTTAATGTTCAAAATTTCATATGCTATAAAGTCAAAATTTTATATGAGGAAACTCATGAACTATGATAGGCCATAGTTAAAGCTTGTACGCTATGTTCTGGATGTTTTCATGTCTTTTCTCATACTTTTGCTTCACTCCTGTATTAATGCTTTTCTCACCCCGGCCTCTCTTTTTGACGGGGGGGGGGAAGATGTAAAATAAAAAAAAATACGATGGCTTTGCTCTTTGCGAACCAGCAATCTTTAATTACTTTTCTGCAATTCAGGATCGTCCCCTAACCCAGTACCTGCTAGAACATTCGCGCCCATTACATAACCTCCTCATATAAATGCTGCGTCATAAGTTTTTCTACATTTTTCTAGAAGCTACTCTGTTACATAACCTTTCATATAAATGCTGCGTCATAAGTTCTCCTACAC